TTATACTCGGGCCCCAACTCCAACAGCTCCCCGCCCTGGCCCCGGCCCCGGCCGACCCCGGCCCCCGCCCCGCCGGCCGCGGCCCCGGACCCAGCCCAGGCCTCGGCCCCGCCCTGGCCCCGGCCCCGGCCCTGGCCCTGGCCCCAGCCGGCCCCAGCCCGCGGCCCCGGCCCCCGGCCCCCGGCCCCGGCCCTGTGTGGCTCCCGGCCCGCTCCGGCCCCGGCCCTGGCCCAGGTCCCGGCTCCAGCGCCCTCCAAATCTAACTATACCTCGAGCCGTGTCCTCCCAGATGCCCACGATGCCGAACCTAGCTTCAAAACAGCGAACGAAGCCTGGAAGTCGCCCCAGGAGGGCTCCAAGACGCCCCGAATGGTCCTGATAGGCAACCGGCGTCGTCGTCAACATCGTGAACATCCTCGCCATTATCTCCCTCCTTCTCCTCCTCATGATCGCCACGCTCTACTCGCCCCTGCCCTTCCTTCGGCCCCCCCCGCGACCCTGCTCGCCTCGCTCCCCTCTTATTCATTCCCCCCCTGTGCTCCTGCTCTCCTCATCCGCCTCTTCCTCCTGTCCCCCTCTTCATGTTCCTTCCCATGTTCCGCGCCCTCCTTCCCAGCCTCCGGGTCGGCGGCACCGGCCTTACGGCCTGCGCAATTTGTGAGGTCATCCCATCGAAAACAGGGAGCCTGTCTGGCGTCTTTGAAGGAGCGTGTCCGCTCATGATGTCGGTGAGCGGCTGGCAATCCACAACGAAAATAAACCAACGACTTTGCTGCCAAGACGTGATGGGTTCATACCCTTCGCCGTGTCCGCATGGACGTTCGGCAGGGTCGTGATTCGTCCGCCTGGCGCGTTTGTCTGAAGGTTCGCTGGGTCTGAAGAAAGCCGCGGGGCAGGGGGGCCCCACTCCGAGCAGACGGCTGCAAGAAATCTGGGAAACAGCGCCCGCCATGCCGCGGAATTTGCACAAGAATCTCGAGTGGCTCGCCATTTGGCTCCAAATTCGATGCACAACGCGTCCTCCCATTCCGTCTGTTGCCCCATGCCTGTGGGCACCACTCGCAGTGCCCGACGCTGGTTCTCTGGTATCGTATGCGCCGTTTGCCGGAACGCTCTGTCCCTGAACCGCCGTGCGGACGCCAAGTGGTTGATGGAACTTGGTGCTTGAAAGACGTATTCCCTCCAAGCCGGATCCAAAACAGCCGGCAAAACTCGCCGGTGAATGGGGCGCAGTTGGCATTCGCCAAATGCCCGCTGGATGCATTGCGAATTCCTCCTGTTGTAAACCACGCGCCCCTCACATGGCCGACGGCGCGGCCGAAGAGCTTCCGTGGAAGTCGAAACTCCCACCGACGCAATCGCATCAATGTGTTCTTCGACAGATGCCAAGTACCACAGCAGTACGTTGCTGATGATGGTGGGGCACCGAACCACGCGCGGAGCCGCTCCTGGACTGGAGCTGGCCTGGAGAGATGTCTCCAGCGCTTCCATAAACATGTTTCTCCTTGGCCCAGCCGGCGCTCGAAACCGACCTCCGCGTCGCCCTGGGCGTCCAAAAGGGGGCCCAGGATGGGCGGGCGGTCGACGCGCGCAAACGACACTCCTTCCACCGCCGTCAGTCTAGAAGAAGAGCGGCTCGTGGTCGACGCATGCGCGGGCTCCGCAAGGGAGCCGCAACACACGCACTCTAGCGACGAGATTCTCTGTGCGAGGCCGGATCTCTCAATCGCGTCTGCGAGGTTGGCGACCACGGTCGCGAACTGGCCCTCCGACGTCGCAAACAACAAAATATCATCCGCCCAAACGAGGTCCTCCCAGAGGCCCCGAAGAGGCCAACCACGAGATCCCAACCAACATCCATGAGGCCTCTGACCCACCACCCAAGCACGGTGGCGGGATAGGCCGAAGGCCACTAGATCCGCCGCCCCCTTTTGCTTCAGCAAAGGGGTGCCCGGCGTGACAGATCCTATCGCTTTTGGTTTGGGTTCTTTTTCCAAAAGAACTCTCCCAGTAGGTTTTGGCCCGTCCCGCCGGGGTCCCGGGTTTTTCTCCACGGACCTCACTTTCCCAATTTTCTGCCCAAGACGGCTCCAAGATGGCCTCCAAGATGGCCAAGGTGGCCCAAGATGGCCTCCAAGATGGTCCAAGATGGCCTCCAAGTCCGCCCAAGATGGTCCAAGGCGGCCTCCAAGACGGCCCAAGAGAGTCCAAGAGAACCCCAGACGGGCCAAGAGGCCCCCCAGAGGCCTTCCAGACGGCCCAAGAGGCCTCCAAGAGGTCCTGCAGGAGGGCCCGAAGAGGCCAAAATCATTGATGTTCCTTTGTTTTTTGAAGGATTTGGGAATTTGCTTCTTCTCGGCATTCCGACGGCTCCAGACGGCCTAAGAGGCCCCCAGGATCGCCCAAGAGGCCTCCAAGAGAGCCCCATGACGCCCCAAGTGGCCTCCAAGATGGCCCCAAGAGGGCTCCAAGAAAGCCCAAGAGGCCTCCAACACGCCCAAGATGGCCTCCAAGACGCCCAAAATGGCCTCCAAGACGGCCCCGAAGCGCCCCAAGAGGGCCCCCCGTTGGCCCAGAAAGGCCCCCAAGACGGCTCCCGACGGCGTCAGACGTGCCAGGAACCCACCAAGATTGCCGAAGTTGGCTCGAAGCTGGCCCAAAAGGGCCCAAGAGGCCCCCAAGAGGGCCTCCAGGAAAGCCAGAAGAGGCCAAAAACATTGATTTTCCGTTGGCCTTTGACGGATTTTGACGTTTCCTTCTTTTCGGCCTTCCGAGGGCCCGAGACGGCCCCTAGAGCCCCCAAAGATCGCCAGAAGATCGCCCAAGAGGCGTCCAAGACGGCCACGAGGACATTCAAGACGCCCACGTGTTCCCCGAAGGCTTTCCAAACCGATTCGGGGAACACATGGTCCGATGGCTTGGCAGGTCTGGCCTCAACGTTCGGTCACACAAGACGGCCAGGATGACCTCCAAGACGGCCCCAGATGGCCTCCAAGTCCGCCCAAGATGGTCCAAGGCGGCCTCCAAGACGGCCTCAGAGAGTCCAAGACGGCCCAAGACGGCCCAAGAGGCCCCCCAGAGGCCTTCCAGACGGCCCAAGAGGCCTCCAAGAGGTCCTGCAGGAGGGCCCGAAGAGGCCAAAATCATTGATGTTCCTTCGTGCTTTTTTTTCCTTTTTAAAGATTTTTGAAGTTGCTTCTTCTCGGCATTCCGACGGCTCAAGACGGCCCAAGAGGCCCCCAAGATCAACCAAGAGGCCTCCAAGAGGGCCCCATGACGCCCCAAAGTTGCCTCCAAGATGGCCCCAAAATGGCCCCAAGACGGCCCAAGAGGCCTCCAACACGCCCAAGATGGCCTCCAAGACGCCCAAGATGGCCTCCAAGACGGCCCCGAAGCGCCCCAACAGGGCCCCCCGTTGGCCCAAAAAGGCCCCCAAGACGGCTCCCGACGGCGTCAGACGTGCCAGGAACCCACCAAGATTGCCGAAGTTGGCTCGAAGCTGGCCCAAAAGGGCCCAAGAGGCCCCCAAGAGGGCCTCCAGGAAAGCCAGAAGAGGCCAAACACATTGATTTTCCGTTGGCCTTTGACGGATTTTGACGTTTCCTTCTTTTCGGCCTTCCGAGGGCCCGAGACGGCCCAAGAGCCCCCAAAGATCGCCAGAAGATCGCCCAAGAGGCGTCCAAGACGGCCACGATGACATTCGAGACGCCCACGTGTTCCCCGAAGGCTTTTCAAACCGATTCGGGGAGCACTCCAACATGGCCTCCAAGATGGCCAAGATGGCCCAAGATGGCCTCCAAGATGGTCCAAGATGGCCTTCAAGTCCGCCCAAGATGGTCCAAGACGGCCTCCAAGACGGCCCAAGAGTCCAAAACGGCCCAAGACGGCCCAAGAGGCCCCCCAGAGGCCTCCCAGACGGCCCAAGAGGCCTCCAAGAGGTCCTCCGGGAGGGCCCGAAGAGGCCAACATCATTGGTGTTCCTTCGTTTGTGGAAGGATTTTGGAATGTGCTTCTTCTCGGCATTTCGACGGTTCAAGACGGCCCTAGATGCCCCCAAGATCGCCCAAGAGGCCCCCAAGAGGGCCCCATGACGCCCCAAGTGGCCTCCAAGATGGCCCCAAGAGGGCTCCACGAAAGCCCAAGCGGCCTCCAACACGCCCAAGATGGCCTCCAAGACGCCCAAGATGGCCTCCAAGACGGCCCCGAAGCGCCCCAAGAGGGCCCCCCGTTGGCCCAGAAAGGCCCCCAAGACGGCTCCCGACGGCGTCAGACGTGCCAGGAACCCACCAAGATGGCCGAAGTCGGCCCGAAGCTGGCCCAAAAGGACCCAGGAGGCCCCCAAGAGTGCAAGTAGTCGGCGGAAGCTGCGCAGCGGTATTGATCTGTGTACCTTCTCTGAACTCCTAAAGCTCGAGAGCCCTGCTCACAGGGCTTCTAAACTCCCGTGCCTCTGAGCACAAGCGAGAGGGCGCTTGAGCCAAGACGGTAGCAGGCAAAATACATATGGGAAACACAACTTCATTCACAAACTGAAGCTATGCAAAATCATGGGGCATGAAACATCTGCCACCCTGCTG